GATAGAAATGCATCCAGATTTGCTAGCAAATAAATCATGGACTAAAGTCAAAGTCTTTATTCAAAATCAATATACTAAGAGAAAATGAATATGTGCTTAGGTAGGCCGATTACTTGTTCAAAGTTTTCAACATAGAATGGAAAAATCCATTCCTAATACCTTTCATTTATAGTTTTAACTTAGGTTTACTTTTTGTTAATATTTTAGTTTTTCAGTAAAGGTTGTATACTACCTGTTGTTGTTTTAATATGTCGGTTTAACAAATACCACGTTAACTTTGAAAGCGCTATATCGAGACGTTTTCAAAGTGTCTGATCTTAATCCAGACGTACTCTCAATCCTTCAGCGACTAAACAGTAAAGGAAAAATCTTGGCCATTTCAGCAGTGAAGGAGAAGGAAGAGAAGCAGAAAAAAGAGGATAGGTAACCCGAGCGACACGTGTCTCTGCTAATTGGCTTCGTCAGGCCTAAATAAATGTGCACATCCACACATCAAGGTGACCTTGACTCCTCAGGTTACACCCGTATCCAAGTGTATGGGTATGTCTGTTCACCTCGGTGGGTGGATATGCATATCCATTTGGGCCTGACGAAGCCAATTAGCAGAAACACGTGTCGCTCGGGCTACCTATCCTTTTTTTTCTGCTTCTCCTCCTTCTCCTTCATTGCGGAAATGGCAAAGATTTTTCCTTTACTGTTTGTTCCACTGTACCGCAAAACTGCCTATTACCTACAGCGACTTTTCACAATCACAAATACGGCGTATATAAACATTAATGCTAATCCATTTTGATATTTCAGTCATAAAAATCCAATGCTTTACTTGTTGAATAATGCAGGTCATGTAGGTTGGCTGTACTTCCAAGGCAATTCTGTCATCAATTTTTATATATTATAAGTATGGTTTATTTCCAAAGATGGCGCTGTATCAACTTCAAAATAGAAAGATAGACCAAAGCAATTGCATGTAAAATATAGGGTTGACTGCTTAGACTTGGAACATGCGACCAACAGACTGAATGAACACTATATTTTCCACGTTTAGATACGTCACTTATTGTAGTAATAGCTATTAAAATTAAAGTGTAATTAAATCAACTCTCATTGGATAAAGGTAGAAAGTCAACTAGGTTTATGTATATCAAAGAAAGAATGAGTTCAGGGGATAATGAAATTTGTGGGTGCCGTGAAACGGACTCTGGCGAGGGATCCGTCGTCTGGACCTCCACGCTTGACTTGAATTTCACAGCTTCTTACAAATAATGCACGACGATCAAGAAAAAGTTCACCTATCGGCAACACCGCAGGACGCATAAACCTGTGTCAGCCGAAAAGAAATATTCTTAAGGACGTAGAAAGATGGTGGAATGAAAAATATACATGGACGCAAAAACCGTCACTGAATGTGACGGACGTTGAAAAGTCGTCAAATAGATTTTCATATTTTTTCCAGCACAAAAGCATCACAGATCAGTATACTTCATATTTCTCAGTCGGTAATGATGAGATCTGCGTGGATTGCCGCCAAAATCTCTATATACTCGTCGGACGCTGAACCCCTAGTGGCATGAACAGACGCAGAAATAATAGTGAGATTTATATATATATATATATACAATTAATTGTTAATTGGGAAATTGGCAAATCTCTTAGGCTTAAGTTGACTCTTTTGACGATAGAATCAAGCTTTCGGCATTCTCTATGGAGCCATCATCAGGATTCTGAAAACACAGTTGTGATGCTAGCAAAGAAAACAGGACAGATTTAAATTATCAGACAACTTTCTCGTCGGTGAGGTTGCAGCCACAAGGTGTTTCAGAACGAACGTAGAGAAGATCGAACTTATAATCAGTATAAAAACAAAAGGACGGGGACATTGGGTTTGTTGTAAAACGACAGATACCTTCGTTAAATGTTAAAAATATATCAATCCACCCGAACAAGTTAAAAATACTACGTGAGACGACATTTTGTTGAAGCAATCGGAATGCAGTCTCTAACCTTCTGTTTCCGCTACACGTGGAGAGGGGGACTGCACGGAAAGATAAACCATCGACAGATGACAAGTGATTGACGCGACGGACCGTGGAACTGTAAACCTCCCTGTCCAGCTTTGGGTATGAAGTATACGAGGGACGCTCGGTAAACCTCCACCCAAAATTACTAAAATGCTGAATTAACTTGTCTTGGAAAAACGTGTGTAGTTAATATGAGTGTAAGAATGTTTGATATTGATACAACCTTGAAAAGATAAGTTATGAGAGTTTATATTAAAAATGTGAGTGAGAAAATGTATTCCAATTTTGTGAAGATGTTGGTGCAATTTAGATATGTAGTCGTTCTAGCTTTTCGCAATTCAACAGGTAGTTAAAAATATCAATCGGGTGGATTGATATTTTTAACATTTAACGAAGGTATCTGTCGTTTTACAACAAACGAAATGTCCCCGTCCTTTTGTTTTTATACTGATTAAAGTTTCCTGTTTTCTTTGCTAGCATCGCAATTATGTTTTCAGAATCCTGATTAAGGCTCCATAGAGAATGCCGAAAGCTTGATTGTATCGTCAAAACAGTCAACTTAAGCCTAAGAGATTTGCCAATATCCCAATTAACAATCAATTGTATTTTGTACCCAACTGGTCGTTGGCTTCGGCAGTGACTACTGCTCATATATATATATATATATATATATATATATATATATATATATGTAAGTATAGCAATCTCAGATTTATATGTTGAGCTGGCAACGCTGCGTTGTGTTTGTTATTAAATAATTTTTGTTAATTTCGACGTTGGGAGGCTTTGGTGGCTTTATTTTCAGATAATTACTTGTAATCTTAGGTCTATGTCTCTATGTCTATTGTAATTGCAATATGCACCACGAAGATGTAGGGAATGAGTTGTTTTAAACATATGGGTGTTTTAGGATGAAGTAGAGGATATGTTGTTTTGATTGCTATAAAGAAATTGATTAATCCATGATGAATGATTACTATTATGATGAACGAAAGACGAGGAATTGGTTGGAATACATTTTATATTCTATTTTCTTGCAAAATACAGACAAATCCAAACATTTCAACTGGTATGTAGCTGTAATGATGACGTAAATACTCAGCATGTACAGCTAAGCAAATTCGAGATTACCATGCATTAGCAAACGTCCAAACATGCTATCAAATTTAATAGCCAGAAAATCAACATATTATCAGTCGAATTCTCATTGGCTAACGAGATAACGGACCTGTAATTTGTGAATTTATAAGAAAAAGCATAATACATGAAAGTTGTCCTATTGTCTCTGTACAAAAGCATCATGTTGGAATCAAAAAGTACTCTTATTTATAATACAATCGCTTTTTCACGATTTTATTCAATATTTCAATAGACATCACTGATATTCAGAGAGCTATATAAGAGGTCTCTTGCCATTGGTCCAAACTGACGGTCAAATATTAGTGTTGGTGAAATTGGCCCTTAGTAACAATAATTTCTCGATATTAGCCAATTCTGTTAAATTTTCATCCTAAATGCAGTCACCTGCTTTCTGGTGAGTAATCTTATGCCTACATCTTCTCTTCTCTGGTGGTTAAACCGTACTCCTATCTTACTTCTTATCAGCTCTAATGACATATTGATCAATGTTTTGAAATGGGTTGGAAAGGCAATGCAACCTTCGTCACACCCATATCTTCTCCGAAACAACCTCCATGAAATGTTTAAATACATTCGAAAAATACCTCCCCGTGTTTGCATCAATTTAGTCCCATATGAAACGGCAATTTTTCTGGCATTTGGCCAGAATAAACTGCAGACCATTTACTGATTGTCTGGTGACATCGATAAAGGCGTGTCATAAAGAAGAGCTTTTCCACGTCATGCAGTTTATAGCCGGAATTAAACCGAATCGGCCAAACACAACCATAGCAGGCTATTAATTTTTGCTAGCTCTACAAATGTCCATTTCCATAAAGCGTCTCTGATGCAAACTGCATCGCGCTGTCGGAAAAACTCGACCATATTTTTGTCGACGTTGCAGGTCGCACTGACAATGATGCATGTAAAAGACAGATACTTCATTTTCAGATAATACAATACAAAAATGTTTATTGGTTGAAATACAAAGTAGTATAAATAATACATAAAAATACGCTACCTTATATTGGATGATGCTCTATCGGCAAAGATAAATACGGATTAGCTAATAATAAGCTTAGCTGTATTTTGTATTTAGCATAAAGCAATAAGTAGTTCGAGATTTAAGCCCAGCTTACCACAGCACTGTAACAACTCTGCTCGATGTTTGTGACGATTTCGTGAGGACAATAAATAACTCTAACGTTACTATTACTGTCATGATAGACCTCAGTAAGGCATTTGATCGCCTGCACCACAAGCTACTTTTTGCAAAGCTTCATTATTTTGGTTTCTCCGATAGTTCGATCAAATGGTTTCGCAGTGATTTTTATGAACGCTCTTAGAGGGTGACATCTTATCAGGCGACTATCCTTGGACCTATTTTGTTTTCTTTATCTGTAACGGACTTAGATCAACTTACTAGTATTGCGAATTACACACATTCATTTATCTTATAACCCTGCTATGTACACCGAAGTGAATGAGATGCTGTCAGAGGATTTACAAAGTATATGTGTTTGGTTTAACTCTAGAAAGTTGACTATCATAGCTATTAAATCTAAATTCAGCAAATTCAATAGTGAATCAATACAGCTGTGTATTGGAGGTGATGAACTTTGACCCAGGACATCGGTTTCCAACTTGGAAAGCACATTTGAAGAGAACCTGTGCTCCTATTATCACGTCACCAAAGCCCTTAACCCTTTGAGCCCGACTGGTTAGCACCAAAAACCATCTTTCAAAGCTCATTTTGCTATTTTCCTAGCGGTATCCCTGGCTAACCATAGTGTGTAACGTCTTGCCTAATGCATGCTGAACCTGTATTCAGCGGAAACAAACGAAATAAACTTATATTTGGTGCGTATTCTTGCTTCGTATAACGTCAAATGTCCAAGTAGCTTAACGGCTAGTACAGGGTGAAGATTTTATAGATCAATTAGTAATTTTTTGGTGAAAAAGTGTATAAAAATGGCTGGTAAGTACAAATAATCTGTGTATATGGCTTATTATGGTCCAATTTTGCACGCATCTGATTTCTGATTCGCAAAATATCACATTATTTATGGTGGTTTTGTGTAGTAACCACTAGGAAAGTACCCAACTTTTGTTTTTTGACAAAAGTTATTTATGTGTAACTTTGTGACAATTTTAATGTCAACTAATATTTTCTGGTTTCATTTACGTGACCCATTCTTTTCAGCGAAAAAAAAATGGTCGATCGCTGAATTGGAAAGTATGAGCCTAGCTGATATTTATAAAATTGTAGAGGATGTAGACGAGGTACCTAGTGATAATGAGTCAGTACTAGATGATCTGGACGCTGTTATGAGTGATGAAATACCCATTACTCAAGAAAATGCTGACCTAAATAATGATCTTTTCAGTCTTCGGAATATGGATGTCATTTTTGAGGACTTGATCGAAGATGAAAACTGCTCTTTAGACAATGCGCAGTGGGAAAGTGACGATGATATTCCACTAGCTAGAAGAAATGATATATTTCTGCCTTGCTACTGGACCAAAGATACAGTATACATCAACCAACCAAGCAAATTTGAAGAAGAGGCTGGCCCCAATTTGCCTGATATCATTGAAACACCTACGGTCGTTTTTTGCACCTATTTCCTGAAGACCTCACCGACCATATTGTTTTTCAAACAAACTTATATTGTGTACAGAAATTTGGCGATGGAAGAAACTTCGTTCCTACAACGAAGGATGAAATCAAAGTTTTCTTCGCTGTAAACTTGCTGATGGGTGTAAAAAGGCTCCCAATTATAAAGATTACTGGTCGTCAGATGAAGTGCTCAGAGACTCATTTATTAGTGGCTGTATTTCCAGAGACCGTTTCGCATGGTTACTAAGTAATATTCACCTCAATGATAATTCCGTACAGCCCAAAAAGGATCAGTCATCATATGACAAACTTTATAAAGTGAGGCCACTTCTTTCCAGATTACAAGAGACATTTCTTTCTTCACTAAAGCCAAACGAGTTTCAGTCAGTAGATGAATCAATGATACGGTTCAAAGGCCGCAGCAGTATCAGACAGTACATGCCAATGAAACCTATAAAGCGCGGTTATAAGGTTTGGGTCAGAGCAGATTCCAGTGGATACATGTGTGAATTTCAAATCTATACCGGCAAGGTGGATCACGCTCCAGAAAAGAAATTAGGAGAGAGAGTTGTTATAGATCTAAGTAGAAACTTGGTTGGAAAAAACCACAAGATTTACTTTGACAACTTTTTCAATTCTGTCGAGTTACAAAGACAGTTGATCAACAATAAAATATACTCCTGTGGTACCTTACGAAAGGGTAGAAAGCACTGTCCTGAATTCAAGTCAGACAAGGATATGAAACGTGGTGAAACCGATTGGCATATTTCCAAAGATGGTTTAGTTGCCCTGAAATGGGTAGACCGGCGTAGCATACTTATGTTGGGAAATCACAATGATCCCTCTGTTTTAGATACAGCATCTAGAAAAAGAAAAGACGGCTCTCCAGAGGATATACCATGTCCCCAGATGGTTTGTGAATACAATGCCCATATGGGCTATGTGGATCGCTTTGATATGTTGAAAAGTCTCTATGAAGTTAACAGGAAAGCACATAAGTGGTGGCATAGAATTCTATTCTACTTCCTAGATGCTTGCGTTGTAAACAGTTTTATACTCTTCCAGCTAAGAAGTAACTCTAAGGGATTAACTCTGAAAAAAATTCGACTGTCTTTGGCACGAGGTCTCATTGGAGTAATAGGACCCACTAAACGAGGAAGACCATCTTTTGCACCTACTGTAAATAGATTCAAGAAGGTGGTACCCTATGAAGTACGATACTGTAAGGCTTCTCACATGCCTGAAAGATCAACATCTCTTAGATGCTCCCACTGCAGTACACTTGATAATCCACATAGAACTATATGGAAGTGTTCGACGTGTCATGTGGGATTATGCTTGAATAAAGATAGAAACTGCTTCTCACTGTTTCACAAAAGATAACTTTTTTTAATTCTTTTTTGAAAGTGTACCTTAGTTCCTGGTGGTTAGCGTTGGTGACCACGTCCTGAAGGATAGCTACACATGTTTATTTGAGAGTACTTTGTTTTAGAGGTTTATTTGTACTATTTTTAACTCATTGATCAATAAATTTTAGGAGTTTGTGAATTTTAATTAATTTCGGGCTCAAAGGGTTAAGGGTTTCTATGCTAAGTTGAAATCAAGTTATAGTTATAAAAATGTATTGTCAAAACAGCTGCACAAGTTTCACTTTAAGTATTCAAAGGCGAAAGAGAATATCTGATCATAAAGGGTTGTCCAATAGGGACGCAGGAAAGTAAACGTCAATTTGACATAGACGCCATCTTTGTTTTCTGTCACCGACATGTCATTTTGTTACTTGAATGTTTACCATTGATCGCTATGGAGTCGTATTCGATTGAAGACCGCATTAAAGTTATTCAAGAGAACCACAAAAATGGTGCAAAAATAAAAGACACGTTTCGCGCGCTTCGGTCGCAACAACCGCCCAAACGAAACAACCATCGGTCGTCTGGTGCGTAAATTCGAGGCAACAGGTTCTGTGGCAAATCTGCCAGGCTCTGGCCGGCCAAGGAGCGTTCGCACACCGGAAAATATTGCTGTTGTGAAGGAGAGTGTGAGAGACGATCCAAAACAATCAACAACGCGTCGATCCCAAGAATTGGGCATTTCGAGAACCAGTTTGCTCCGCATTCTCCACAAGGATTTAAATGTACACGCCTACAAGATCCAATTGACGCAAGAGCTGCGTGCCGAACGTTCTCAGATTGGCTCCTTGAACACTGCCAAATTGATGCCAATTTTTCAACAAAAATCATGTTCAGCGACGAAGCGCATATCATGAATGGGTCAGTAAACAAGCAAAACTGCCGCATCTGGGCGAACGAAAATCCCCCTGAGTATCAAGAGCAGCCGATGCATCCTCAAAAAGTGACTGTGTGGTGTGCATTGTGGTCAAAAGGCATCATCGGACCTTACTTTTTCGAAACTGTGGCCGGGGACGCCGTTACCGTCAATTCTGAGCGATATTACGTGATGATAGAGGACTATTTTTTGCCGCAACTTGAAGGAATGGATATGGACGATGTTTATTTCCAACAAGATGGTGCAACATGCCACACAACCAACGTCAATATCTATCGATTGCAGTCCTTCTTCGGTGATCGCGTGATTTCGCGCAGAGGAAATGTGCCATGGCCACCAAGATCGTGCGATTTGACTCCCTTGGACTTCTTTTTATGGGGATATTTGAAAAGCAAAGTCTACGTCGACAAACCAGCCACCCTCCAAGAACTCAAAAACAACATCATTACCGAGATAAATGCCATAGAACCGACCATGTTGCAAAATGTCATTGAAAATTTCGACCATCGCGTGGACGTCTGTAAATCCAGTCGTGGTGAACATTTGAGCGATATTATTTTTCATACATAAAAGGTATAAATGAACCTTCAAAATAAACTACCCAACTTGATTTGAATATCAATCTATCTTGTTTTAATATGCGTTTACTTTCCTGCGTCCGTTTTGGACAACCCCATATTAAAAATATTCAATTGCTTACTATGCGACAAAGATGGATAATGCATCTATTATCATTCATCCACAGTATTTTGATAAATAAAATGACTGTTAATTTGAAGAACAAGCACGAGATGTGATCATCACTTAGCCAATCTGCGTTTTGTAGGATATATCCTTGACCTGCCCCGGCACCGAGCAACACAATTTAGAAAGACTTGTACAATGAAGTACTATTTCTATATGTGTCAACCTTTAAAAGAAAAATTCAGCTGTCTTTGATAACATATAATACGTATTTTTATGTAATTTTATTTTTATATTTGTTTATTTGTGCAAGCTTTCTACCTCACTTGCCTCTCTTCATTTGTTTGTGTTTTGTATAAGAGCCTGTTTGCTTTCAATTTTTATATCTTCCGCCAAATATTAGTTTTTTACTGTTATTTCTAAGCATACCCTTTGATTTTGTTAGGGGCTCTGTCGATGCACATTTCTCTTTTGGTCATTATTCCATACATAGCCTACGACGTTGTACAAGGTTCTATTTCTATTTTAAACTTTCCTATCGTCTTCTCTTTGTATTTGCATGTACTTATATTTTTTGTAGCGCTAGTTGGTTCTGAAAGACAGCTTTTGCTGATGTAACTCGCCAGGAAAAATAAAGGCCATTCATATTATTATTATTCGTTTTTGGTTAGTCTTTCATCGTTACACACGGGGTATGTAGGTACACAATAGAGGAGGAATTCACCTCAGCCTATTGCGAAGAACTTGCAAACTATGTGACACGTTTGCAATATTGCGGCTTTCTGCATTAATGCAATAAAATGCGCTGGAACTTTGATTTTCTCTAGGTGAGAGTGGAGATTTACAGAGACTGCCCGTTTCACAGACACTCCCCTGGAATTATACAGACCTTTGATAGTTTCTAAATGTTTTTGACTTCAATGGCAAGGTTTTGATACTTTTCAGCCTTGGTGTATTCGGCTCTGATTATGTTTGCTGTGAGTGGCACTGCGATATCAATTATGTATGCTTTCCGTTTAGTTTTATCGATCACTAGTATGTCTGGGCGGTTATAGTTAACTGTCTTATCGGTTATGACTGGCCTGTCCCAGTACAATAGGGCCGACTGATTCTCGAGTACTGGGAATGGTGTATATTTATAATATGGCGCGGTTGACTCGATGAGATTATAATTTTGAGCTAACGTGGAGTGTATTATTTTGGCTACCTGATTATGCCGGGGTAAGTAAACACTATTAGCCAACATGTTGCAGCTGGAGGTGACGTGTACTATTGTTTCACCTGGCGTACGGCATTTGCTACGTACGTCGTGTGTATTCACTAGTATATGGCGTTCATAGTTTCTAGTTCGAATAACCTTATCCTGAATAGCACATAGGAAATCCTCCGATTCCGGACGTAGGTAGCCCTTCACAAAAATTGATAGTGATAACCTTTTATCAATTCCATATTTTTCAAGTGTTACAGGATATCTTCCGTAAAGGACTTTCTCTTTCCATCTGTTGAGCAGGTCAGTCGACGTCGATATTGGTCGATCTGGGGATTCATGATTTCTGCCCAAATTCATGGGGGTGATGTTGCTGTCCATAGCTGTAATGTTCCTAATGTTTTGACCGTTGATGTTGCAAAAATATCGACGAAGCTTGGACACTTGCTCTTTGCAAAGGCGCTCAATATTTATCAATCGTCTGTGCTAGATTTTGGATGTAACATACGAAATTTGGAGAGTAATTTTCTAGTTTCTCGATCGATTTCAGCTAGGTTTGTATCGCTCCATTTAATAACGCCAAATCTATATGACAGCACTGGCACAGCCCAAACATTTATTGCCATTTTAAGATTTTTTGAATTAAGTTTGGTGTTGGTGGGCTTTGTTATCCCGCTTTATTTCAAATAGTAAGCTTACACTCTGTTTCCACATATGTATATTTGATAGCTGCCAATATATGACGCCACATTTTCAATGGAAACAGTTGTGTTTTTATGTCTCCTGCTCTATCGACACTGTTCGTTGCAAGTCAGGCGGGGGTATACAAACGGCGTTTTCCGTTGGCTATGATGTGAGGTGCGTAGCTTTATGCTGTGTGTACTCTGTTACCGGCGTTTTCAAGTAAGTATTCCTACAAGTCTATACAAATTTACAACTTTAAAGTAGATATAGTGGAACAATTGTCTAATGTGCATCCATTTTAACATAATACAATCCTGTCTAAATAATAAAAGGCACGAAGTGTTAAACTTACTACTCTGTTACTGCACAACTGTGTTCCCACTTTGTAGTAACAGAGTAGTGGACTGGTAACCGAGTTGTTATCATACTTATTATTTTACTG